CAGTAAGATTTGTGCTTCATCAAAACAGCATATATGCACACCAATATTATTATTACTAGATACTAAAATTAAAAATATCAAGTTGAAGATATTTTCAGGCAGTTATCATGTTTCTTGAAATAATTAAAAGTACAGAAATTTCGATACATTCAGAGGTTTAAAAGCTGCCAAGTTTTCTGATGCCTCCCTTATAAAAGTACAAATAACAAAGTAAATATTATAAAGAAAATCGTTTGTATGATAAACAAAGGCGTTAGATTAAAGAAAAGAATAGGTAAGAACCATAACAGAAGTTACTATTATTACTCAAGTGTAAAGGGCAATTAAGGAGTACATTATGTTATATAATGAAAACTTATTGAACAATGTTTTTCTGACTTGGAAAAATTTATCACAAGTATTATGTATTCACTCAAATAATTGTAAAATTTACCACTATATCCTATTTATTTTATGATCTTTTAAAAATTTTGGTTTCTTCAGTATCAAAAATAATTATGTATTGGACATAATCTTTGAGAAAAACTTAAAAATCCATCAAGTTAGATATACGCATTTTTCTACTGTTCGATGAATCATAATGTAAAAAAGATTCATACGACAAAGAGAATATAAACAACTGTTTATCTACCACACGTCAATCTTGGAAAAAAGACGAAAAAGGAAGGTAGAAATTCATTGATTTATTATAACGGTAATTGCTTTGTTTGTAAATTCTTATAAACTATTACGTGTGGACTCTGAAATTTTCGTCAAATTTAAGTTGATTATCACTATGATTTTTTTTTGTACTGATTCCTAAAGTCCGATAAAATTCATGAAGTAAACAAGTTCTTAATGTTCCTCAATTTTTCCTGAGCAGAGACTCCTTTAGTATAATTAAGATTTTACGTAGTTCATAAGAAATATCGAGGTGCTCAATTTTTACGATGCTCCATATTCGAAAAATCAAGACTTGCATGATCTTTCGAATATCCGTGTTGAGAATCGAACATCGTATAAATTGTCGATTCGATAAAAGTTATATAGAAAGAAGTGAATTTTTAATTAAAAAATGTATTATCAATTCACGCATATATATATATATATATATACATATATAGCTATATAAAGTATATAAAAGCTATATTCACCAAATTCTTAAAAACTCTAGCTTGTATAAAATTTTCAGTGAAAAATCGAGGAATTTAAAAAATGTCTTTCGTCATCCAACGAAATGTACTATAAATTATAAATAAATGACTTTAGGGACACCGATTTTTTTTTTTTTTAATTTTAAAAACTCTCAAAAGTTACCATCTTATTATAATTTAAAAGAATACTATTTCAGAGCAAATTTACCAAACCTTCGTCGTTCCGTACTGCATACTTTGTAAAATTTATGAATAACAATTAATTCACGTAAACAATGATGAGTGGACTTGACGTTATGATGATTAGAAAAGTTGGAAAAGCGTAACGATTTAACATGAAGATAATGCGTGTATGGAAAGACCACCTATGGGATAACACACTAACATGAATACCTATTACTGCTAAAATTCTAACGATCGCTATAGTTATTCATGATTATTACTATTATGTACTATTATATCCATCGTTAGCACTTAAGAGTTTGTCTCGCGTAATCGTATTGCACTATATTTGTTTGGTTGGCTTGATGGGCGAGAGTCTAATTCAGGTTACTAGATATTACGCTGTACCTTTACTGGTGAACGCAGTTAACTCTAATACCCGCGATTTTAAACGTCTTTCTGAATAAGGAGTACTACAAATACGTAGTACATAAGGTAAATGTCCCAGTAGTTGGCCACCTTAAGGCTGTTGTATCCCAGTACTTGGTCACCTCCACGTTAAATATATACGAAAGCTGGTGGCCAACTATTGAGACACATGCATTGCCTAATAGTTGGCCACCAGATTTGACTGTGTATTTTATACAGTGGCCAAGTATTGGGACCAGTTTTTTGGTGGCCAACTACTGGGATATTTACCTTACGAATGTATAAAAAGTTTTGAACCTAGATCGTTGATTGGACACTTGTGGATTTGCTCATGAATGAAATAGATTATGTCGCACATGCATTAGAGATAAAAACGAAAAGTCGCTCAAAAATCTTAACAAATCTGCTTGAAACTTGTTGTTGATTTCGTTCACCAGAAGCTTAAAGGAAAAAAAGTAGTTGACACGCTAGCTCGTGAATGAAAAAGATAGAGGAGATTTTTAGGAAAGACGTTTCTCATCTTGATACCTTTTTTTATTTCTTTTTTCGCGAGGCCAGTCGATAGATGCGAATTGTGCCTGCTACGTTTACGTTTACGAAATATATTGATTGATTCACTTTTACCCTGTGACATTATTGCCGGACATAAATACAAGCATGTTTTTTTTTTATGAGACTTCGCTTATTACTTTCCAAGCAATACGAATTAGTTCGTAACAGCTGTAAATTAAGAAAGTTTGTCTTGACATTCATGAAACAAAGGAAAGGAGTAATCTATTGGCGGTGTATATCATTTGTTTTATTTAACGTTAAGTGTAAATGATTTGTTTTTTCAAGTTTTTCATTGTTTTTACTAAGTTATGGATGGCGTGCAAGAATCGAGCTTTTTACTGCTTTTGTATGTTTAGCATGGAAAAAATACTACAGTATGATATGAACAAAATTACGCAAATTATTGTGTAACACCTTACGAAATACAAATATAGATGAAAAATTTAACGATCATTAAGCTACGTGAGCATACAAGTATGATTATTTTAAGAAAGTATATACATGCATAATAATACACGTTTTTTAATGTCCTTACCGTCATTGCGATGATGGAAAAAAGAAAAGAAAAATAAAGCATTTAAAATTACGTAACACTGAATTTGTCATTTTTTTTACTAACCATTGCTTCTCCATCCTATAGTGCACATCTTTTATAAAGCCGACGTTTGTTGCCACTTTTGTTTTTACCACATTTTTTCGTTTAAATTTTGCTGGTACTCTCATATTAAAATAAAAACTATTGAATTAAAAAATTTAATGTGATTGCAAGACATAATAGTATCAAGCAATGTATAACACACATACTCCTGAGTAAATTGCATTGCATACTAGTAGGCGCGAACTACGGGGGTGATGCAGATACAACAGTAAACAAGTGTAAGTATACGTACTTTTTAATTTCTCAAAGTATTCAACTAGGGTAAAATACCCAGTCACTTTGCACGACCCAATTACTACACACTAGTGTAATATAGAAAAATAGGATTTACCTTTTTTTTTAATTTCAAAATATGCATGAAAAGTAATTGAAAATAACTATAATAATTATCAGTTAAAATTTTAAGATAATTTTAGCTGTATACTGAGTTTATTGAATATTTGTCCATCTGTAAAATACTGCATTTTTATAAATAATATAATTTTTTAATTAACACGTTTATATTCATCCTGATAATTTGCATGAGTTAAGGAAAAGTAAAACTTTCAATTCAAAACCTGTTGAACATGTTACTTTTTTATTTATTACATTGCGCAGCAAGTGGTACTCTGTTTTGAGATATAATTTATTTACTGTGCGCGTATCAATTTAATCATCTAACTTCACAGACCAATCTGTTTACATTTTCGAGCGAAAGCTTTTCTTCTGTGGTATTTTAAGTTAAACAAACAAGTTTGGTCTTGTGACTCGACAGTGAAAGTTGACATGGAGATATGGAGAAGGTTAATAAAAAAAAAAAAAAAAAAAAATGATTAAAAACAATGAAAAGCAAGTAAAACCGCATCAAGATAGCTTCAAACGATTTGAGAAAAAACAAACAGTATTAATAAGCTTATTATTAACAAAAGACCTAAAAAAATCTTACTTTGAGTCGAGCAAAAGCCACCAAAATCAGCTTGCGTCGATAAACAGCAAGTAGAAGAATCTGTGGACTATATTTTTTTTATTATGAAGTTATAAATTAATAAAATCAATATTCTTTTATAAGTGTGTAAGTTTTTGCGCAGTATTTAGTCCTGCGTAGTAAGCGGTAATGGGTTTTAGTGCGCAGTAATACCCGTAACAAATTATATTTTAAATGTTCGTTTTTTATGAAAACTGGAGTGTTTGCCACAGAAATTATTTTGCTTTACATTAATGATAGATATTTGTTGAAAAGCTTTAGTATAATGTGATTTACCTGAAATATGCTCTGAGGAATTGTAATACATCCAGTCAAGAAACAAATGCGCAGTGATTGAGTACGCCTAGTGACTTGGACTACACGGAAATTTGATATTCTTGAGAAATAACGTAATAAAAATATTTTTTCACCTACAGTTGGGAGAATGATTCATGTTGGTCGGTGTTATCAGACTATCGCGTCAGAGTACCTGTGAATGCGCCATTCAGTACTGGCTCTTACTCATCCGGAAATCTTTATAGAAGGTGCGAACGTCTTGGATAACGTCACTGAATTTTCATTTTAACTTTTACATGTACAGTGAGGTTTTTAAATATTTTATTCCTCGGGAATAGTTTTTAATTATTTTTGCCAACAAAATAATTTAAAGTGATTCTATTATACGCTATTATTTTATACAAGTGTGCGAGTGTACACATTTGTTTTTTCAATTAATAACCTATGCCAGCAAAACAAATAATAAACGAAATTACAATATTGATCTTCGTTATCAAGTGCATACGTGCACGAGATGATTCATTAATAATCCAATTTAATCGGTTAAGGTAATTCATACTTTGACGTTCTTTAAAATTCGTGTGAATAATTTTAATTCTATCATACATTCGGTTAGCAATCGTTTTTAAGTATTTTTAAACTTCACCCGACCGAAATTACATTTAGAAAATAAATATTTCAACAATATAATAACTTGGTTTAATTTAATAAAAGTGGGATAAAATTTTTGCGATTATCAATGTATGTGAAATAACTGATAAGTAAGCAGATAACCGATCGTATAGGCCTTGAAAACCACGTTAGTCTTGAGAGACTTGGCAAACTGACAACAGTCTCTCAGTTGACCTGTCGAGTTTCGACATGTTACAATATAAATTATTGTTATTTTGTTTTGCACTAATTACACAATCTATTGTTTGGACATCAGCTCAAGGTAAGGTAATACTAATAACTTATAATGTGATTTTACCCATTTAAACTACATGTTTATGGCCAAATTGTAATTTTTCCATTATTAAAATATAATACGTTAGTTGCCTTATACTCTATACTTTTCATTTATAAATTTTAATATTGGTAAGCTACACGATGGACAATCAAAGCTTCGAATTTTATCAATGATTCACGTGTTCTGATAAAATCAATAATATCTCTGTCATCAATTGTGGTTATTATTATTTGCGCGTTCGGTAAAGTCGATACTGTAGCGACCACAACGTAAAAATATTAATTTATATTCTTAGACGATACACATTTTGAGGATTATGATGTACCCTCGGACATTGGCACAGAGGAGCCGAAAGAAGTGCCGAAAAGAATCGTTAATGGAACAAAGGCCATTTTGGGACAATTTCCACAACAGGTAAAATATGGACATTCCTTTATTGTCTTTTCCTTTTTTTCGTGATTACAATATGATAGGATCAAGGAAAAATGTTCAAGGTGTCCTTGCGAAGGAGGTATTCGCAATCGCACTTCTGTGGAGGTAGCATTATAACTCCAGGATGGATTTTAACGGCAAGTCACTGCATGTTCGAGTAAGTCGTTTTTTTATTCTTCAAATACCAAAAACATGAAAAATGCCATAAAAAGAATTGATTACGCGAGACTCATCGTGCATCAATGATCGATACCTTTATCTCTTCAGCCGATCGGGTAAGATACTCGAACCATACTCAGTAATAATCGTCGCGGGTGACGTTATTCTGAAGAGCATAAAACTGTCTTACCAATGGCGCGGAGTTAAAAGAATCATCATCCATCCACACTTCAATTCTTACACTCTAGAAAACGATGTTAGTCTTCTTCAGGCGAGTACCAAAGATTGTATATATATCGAACCAATGAACGGTCAAACTATAAATTTTAAAATAACTGACGACAAGCGATAATTTCAGCTTAAAAAGCCATTCACGTTCGACCCACTGGTGAACGCGGCCCCCTTGGCTCGCACGTTCGTGAGGTCAGGTACGGTGTGCCAAGTTTCCGGATGGGGCTACCAAAAGCACGTGAGTACAACCAAGTGTAGGCGCGATGCGCGCGAAGAGTAATATAATTTTTTCCTCTTTGCAGGAAGACGGCATCGTGAGTCAACACTTGTTGTACGTGGATCTTCCACTGATTTCCGTGCCCCTGTGCCGCAAGCTGCTGTGGAATATTTCAAACGTACCCGTGGGAATGTATTGCGCTGGGTACAAGGGCGGTGGTCGCGACGCCTGTCAGGTACACCCGCTTTGTCTCAATAATACACACACCTCGTGTACATTATGGTGTTTGACGAATTTGTGTTTCAGGGTGATTCGGGGGGCGGGATGCTGTGCATGGGTCGACTGACGGGTGTCGTGTCCGGTGGTGAAGGCTGCGCCTGGCCGGACCGGCCGGGGCTTTACTCCGACATAAAGGTTTTTTTGCCGTGGATCGAGCAATTCGTCGATCTTAATGAAAAACACCCCATGCAATTGCATCCCATCAAGAGGGTGAACGCAAACTCGGCGATTCGATTGCCGCCGTCTTTCCGGGGCATATTGGCAGCGAGTGTTTTCTACTTGATCTATTATATTTGAGTGCGTTTTTTTTTTTATTTTTAAAAATAATATTGGATTCGTTTGAATTTTTGACCGTGTCCAAGTGTTACGTTTCAACGTAGCTAGTGAATCGAAAATTGTACAAAGATTAGGGCATTATTTGCGTGTTATGTGTTACACATTACAATTATAATAATAATAATAATAATAATAANATGATGATGATGACGATAATAATAATAATGATAATAATAATAATATTAACAATAATAATAATTATGTTTCATTTATTTCAAATCCAAAGAAAACGATATCAAAGTGGCAATTGTGCCCCTTCAGCCAGAGCTGCGCAATCTTTTGCACGGATATACGTGTGGCAGATTTCAGGAGTGTTTTCTGCGTTTCTTGGGCACGTTTGAAGAATTTCGCTGGTTGAAAAAAATGTAGAATTAGAGTCACGCCGGGGTTTTTCGAGTCGAATTGCTATTTCTTACAGGTTGCTTGAAATTTTGTGTTAAACAAGAAAAAAAAAAAAAAAAATCAAATAATGGAAACGATGCACACATAAAAAAAAATTTGAGGGATTACTCGTGTAATGGTGCAAAAATAGGTTAAAAAATGTAGGACACTCTAACTTGAATGGCTAAAAAATATTGCAGCTGGTGTTTGTGGTGGTACTAAGGGGGATTTGCGTTTATCACGCCAATTGTGTATATTTGACACTTTTGCGGAAATTTCCTTATCTTACACGAGTTTGTTCTTGGTTCTATTATATATAATTGAGTTTACTGTTAAGAATTAGTCGGGTAGTTTTCAAGTGGCTGCTCACTTACCAAGAAAGTTAAGCCTGGGTAGAAAAACCCAATTGTGAAACAAAACCTTGCTAAAATGGCATGGAATTACCTTGATCCCTTCCTTGGATTATTTAAGCTCTGTTATTAAAATTTCTAGATGGTAAAAAACTCTCGAGGAACCGATAAGAGAACATAATACTGTTGCATCACTTGGTACGGGTTTCGTTTTCACGTATAAAATAATTTATTGCTATGATATGCACTTTTTTCATACTTTGCATGAAAAATGAAGAATAAATCGTAAACGTAATTCTACATTGTACCAAACAATTAGTTATATTTTATATAAAAATACTGACGCCACACTTTTCGAAAGTATCCGAGTACATCCCATGTACTCACTTTTATTGTCGCTATCTAAATATTTACAACCATCACAGTATTTTGGATACATTTGCTGTACAAGATCAGTAGACAAAGAAAAAAAAAAAAAAAACATGAACAAATTGAAGAAACGCGTGGAAGGCTATTTTTTGGTGAGTTTGTCCTGTATCTCCTGCAAACTTTTCCCCTTCGTTTCCGGCACGAAGAGCAAAGTGTACGGTATAACGACCACCGAGCACAGGCCGTATATCCCAAAGACGAAGGCCTCGCCTATGGAGTCGACCATCGGCTGGTAAGTCTTGGATGAGATGAAGGCCACGATGGCCCCCGTGACCCCCGAAATACCGGCCGCGATGCACTTGATCTCCGCGGGAAAAGTTTCGCTGAGTACCGTGCTGGGCACCGGCAACAGGCCCACGCAAAACGAAACGATGAAGCAGAACATCGAGGCGCCCGGGAGCCACTGGATCTCACCCACGTCACTCCCGGAGCCCATCATCCAAAAGTAGACCATGAGCCCGACCATGGCACAGGTGACTCCCGTGCTGGAGACGAGGAGCAAAAACTTTCGCCCGCATCTGTCGATGAGCGGTACCGACAGGGCCGAGGCGAACATGCCGCAAACGTTCACGTACACCACCATCAGGGATGGCCTGATGAACGTGAAATTGGCCTTTGTGAGGATCGACTCCCTTCAACAAAAAAAAAAAAAAAAATAAAAACCATACATACGAAACACTGTTTACATATGCACGCAGCTCTTGGTATTATGATACAAATCATCGTTTACGCACATGTAGAACAAAACGCTGTTGAGACCGCAGATCTGCATGAAGACGAAAAGCGCGATTATCTGGAAGGTGGCGCGTCGCACGGGTCGGCTCCTGAACTCGGACAACTTGTCCATGAAGCTCTTACTGTGGTTCGCGGTGACGAACTTTTCAACGGCGGCCAACTCTTCGTCCACCTGGTGACCCGCCCTGTACCAGTTGATGGAGCGCCTGGCGGCTTCGCTCTTCCCTGTCTTGACGAGGTGGTGCGGGGACTCGGGCAGCCAGACAAACAGCAACTCCAGCAGCACGGCCAGGCCGAGGGAGAGGCTCGCCGACAGGCTGATGCTCAAGTACGAGCCGCAGATGCTCGCCACGACTTGGCCCAGCGGCGCCCCCACCTGAATCATCGAGTTGGTGCATTTTTTAATCTTTACATGTATATACTTGGTAATTATAGGTGAAGAATCGGCTTGTACATATGGAAAACCAGCATTTTTGAAAAAAATTGGCAACTTGTCGACGTTCAAATACTTGATATATTTTTCATCCTAAAAGCTAATGGCTGATTTTTCCAAAACAATAACACATAATCTACGATTAACGAAACTACAGCGATGAGGTAGTAATTTGGAAATAGTGCACTTTTCGTGCCTCGACTAACCATGGCTAGAGAGATGAGCGCACCTCGGATCTTCGGTACTGCTACCTCACCGATGAATAGAGGAAAAGTGCTGAAGGCCATCCCAAATCCCAGACCCAGTAGCAGCCTGGCCATGTAGCTGAATTCCACATGAAAAGTCCATTATTTGTATGTGGTGAGCGACTACAGTTTACGTGAAAACGATTGAAAAATCAGGGTGAGATAAGTATTACAGGCACTCGACGGACGTGGCCAGGGCTACCAATAGCCAGCCTGCACTGAGGGGAAGCAGGGACATGCATATGCCGCGTTTGCTGCCGACGAGGCTTGCTGAAACCGGTCCCACGATGGCCCCAAACAGTCGGCCAAGATTCACCAGAGCCGCAACCCAGGAGGCTTGGATCGGTGTCATGTGCAGTGGATCGGATAAACTCGAGTCCGGGGAGGCGAGCCTGGCCAAAATGGGTGACGACCATCCGAACACCAGACCGAATTGGATTTCCAACAAGAACACTGTCAAAGAGCCATTAGTCTATGGTATTTTTTTTTTTTTTTTTTTTAGTTTTTTAGGAACCTACATTCTTTAGTTATTAAGTTTGAAGATAGTCAGTCTTTTTACCGCAACAGTATTGTGAATAAAATGTTGTGCTCCAACAAATTTGTTTAGTAGAAAAATTTCGAGTGGTTCCCGTTGCCGATTACTAATTTTACGTGGATGATTCCCGGCTCCTGGTCGTTCACGCACTGTATTTTTGTCAATTTTTATTTACGCGATACTTAAACATGAAGTATATCGGCAACGTTTTTTAAAGGATAGAAAAAAAATGTTTTTTTTTTTTTTTAAGTCTATTTTATTGGTCTAACAACCCATACTGTACGATAATTTTGTTTTTGTCTTAATACGCCATTTTTTAAAAGTTTGATCATCTATTAATTTAAAAGAGATTACGTCGTTAAAATTGTTACTGGGGAAAAAAATTGTCTATTTCTTTCTTAACCACTTGAAAAAATTTAACGATTTCTGGTGATGATAAAGTTGTACACGAAAAGTTATTAATAGTATCCCAGATATCAATTGATTTCACGACTTTGTTAAAGCTCCGTATGTTAATTATAATAAAAATTTCATCACGACAATCTCTGACTCATCACTAAGTATTGGAAAGAGATAATAAGTGGGGCATTTGCATTTTTTATTGACAGAGTGAGTATTGCAAGCGGAGTCATGCCAGTGTATGAAAAAAATAATCCTTCGAGAAAAATTAATTAAATTGGAGTTTCCAGTCGTGTGTTCGATTGCTATGGTCGGGTTTCAAGTGATGCTTCGCGTATAGCTAGGTATATTCGTTTTGCCGTTGCGTTACCTACTCGTGTTCGGATCGTATTGGAGCGATAATGGCCACTTGTCATTTCACATGATGTATTGTCTTGATGAAATATGATGAAAAAAATTAGGTCTCGTTAAGGTAGAAAAATTTGTCGACGCAAGGTGCGGTTGAAATTCATATTTTACAAAATACCCCATGAATTTTCGTATGAAAAACCATACCCTCGCTGAAAGTGCTTCATATCTGCTCTGCTCTCCAAAGCAGATAATCAGCTCTTTCGACGAGGTTCGGAGTTTAAAACGTGTCTTAGATTTCACGTTATTCACGTTTGTTCAAGTGAAATCTACTACATTCTTAACCTCGCTCACTAGGTACGTAATATTCTATGTTCTTCAATGCGCAACGAAAGAATTTCGATTCATGGCATGCAGGTGCATAGAATAATCGTCGTAGGTTTTGGAAAAAAAAAAAAAAAAAAAAACCGTCCGATTTATGAACATGGTGGTAACGCATTTCCCCGAGGATGATTGTCACGAAAAAAACACTTGGCCACTGTCATGATTTACTTACCACCGAGTCCAGCGAGCCACTGCGGCAAGATGACGCTTGATCCTGTCTTCAGGATCATTGTGCCGATGATAAGTTGACGGTGGGGGTGGTTGTGGTGTCGATTATGGCAAAGATTACAGAGCTGCCGTGGCTCGTCACTACATACGCCTGAAATGACTATTGGTTTCTAGTCCCCAAGTAGGCAGGAGAGGCTGCCAGAAGCTTCAACACTCCGATGATAAGATATGCCTTTGTTTAACGAAAAAAATTTCCCCCTCTAATTACACGAGTCAAATAAACTTCAATACGACGATTCTCATTAATGCCAATGAAAGGTTTTAATTAAATGTGGTGCGGCGCGTTCGTCGTGATAAACCGTCTGTTCACCTACTTACGTAGGGAACCCGATATATATATATATATATATATATTTATCGTTATATATTTTCATGACACAAACGTTTCACAATCAACACTGAAAACGTTTAATGTTAATGATCCGAGCGGAGCTCACAATATTAAATTCAACATTTCGCGCGAAGAGTGCGGTATTTATTGCAGGACCAAGTGATGAAATAAGTTTATAATATTGCCACCTCCATACCGAATTAACCAACTTGTTTTGCGGGTTTAACGATATCATGTAAAACTATTAGCCCACACGTAGATAAACAAGTTTTTGGGCCATCCTCTTGAGGCTGTCGAAATTACAAAAATAGTTTTCGAGATCGAGGTTTGAAAATAACGTACATCCACGTTATTTGTACTCTCTTACTTTCAAGCGTTACATAAGTAATGTGAATTACTCGACGTCACTGATTTGATGAACGTCTAGATCACAGTTGACACATTCGGCATGTGTTTCAACCACCCATTGTACGACTATGCCAAGAAACTGTTGGCTATACAGGCATTCGTTCCTTACTAGTCCAGCTATGTATAATATAGTTGGGGTATCTCTTGCATCGAAAGAAAAACTTAACGGGTCCACGGTGATTTGTCGGTTGAGAAAAGGTCACGATACCAAAGACACATGGCACCCCAAGAGACTCAAACCCGAGGTTCAAAGTGCGCTATACACGAGGTCGATCGGAATGGCAAGTGCATAAGTTACCAAAGTCGTAGTAATGTCGGGAGGTATTGTTGTTTACTTCGCTAGGCTTGCACACACATCGTCGAGAAGAGCTTGTAAATTTAAATACAGCTGTTCCGAGATAAAAATGGAGGCACGACTTGCCGATAAGATAAAAGCTCAAGATTTCCTAAAACTTTTTTTTTTTTTTTTTTTTTCTTTTTTTTATCTGGCGAATTTCAGTGTTCTAGTTAACAATGAGTTTTCAGCGATTTAACGAATTATTGGCGAATACAACTTTTTTCCCTTTTTTTTTCGTAACATGCTTCAAAGACATTATTTTTCAGCGCTAAACAATATGTGCCGTTGCGTTGCATGTTGAAGTAGAATTTCAGCGACGTCTCTTTTCTCGTCGCTATTGGCACGCACACGCCAACGATGTTGACTTTGGCTCAAAGTTCCACGGCGACAAAATATTGACAATTTTATCTGAAAATTCCCAAAGCACACAATTGTTGACGAAATGTTTAAACGTGCGATTAAATTCTTAGAAAGCGCGTGTTACACTTTCACCGGGTCAAAAAGCGTTGCCATCGATAAAGAACATTTTGAACGCAACGTCAGGTGCTCTCAAATCTTGGCGCTTAAAGGGTGTTTCACAATGGGCGTAAGCTGGAGTATCGTAATGGGACCAAGAAAATGCCGCTTTTGTAATAAAAATAACGAATTTTATTTCTTAAAATTACCTTTTTCTCTAATAGTAGCGAACCTGTAATAACAATGCTTAGACTACACCCTAAACATAATCAGCATGTAATAATAATATTTACACCCATCACTCGAATCGTCCACAATGGCGTTGTATCTTCACGTTACAAATTTTGACATGTTGACGCATTCCCCGAGTGAGTTAGAGTCGTCATATCACCGAGTTCTTCCCAGCAAACTCGTCCTGTATCTGCTGTAGGCTTTTCCCCTTGGTTTCCGTGACTGCGAACAGCGTGTAGGGCAGGATGAGGGAGGACATGAGCGCGTAGATGAGAAAGACGTAGGTGTCCCCGACGAGGTCGAGCAGGGGCTGGTAGGTCTTGGCGGACAGGAAGGACGAGACGGCCCCGGTGAGGATGGCGATGCAGGCAGCGATGCACTTGATGTTGGCGGGGAATATCTCGCTGAGGATGGCGCTGGGCACGGGCAGTAGGCCCACGAAAAAGGAGATCATGAAGAGGAACATCGAGGCGGCTGGGATCAGCTGGAGGCCCAGCGGTAGTTCCACGCTGGTGTCGGTCGCGTCTCCCACTATGGCGAAGTGCCCGGCCAGTCCGAGCATCGACAGGGTCGTCCCGGTGCTGGAGAGGAGCAGAAGGAACTTTCTGCCGCAACGGTCGATCAGGAGGACGGAGAGCCCCGCCGACAGGGTGCAGCTGACGTTCACCAGCACCACCAGCATCGACGGCTTCACGAGTTTAAAGCCCGCCCTCACGAGGATCGACTCCTACACATTTCAACAACATTTCCATCATTTCGAACTAAAGTTTTGTTTCATTCGTTTACCATGGAAAACCAAGTTTTATCATATTATCTGTTCAATGGACCGATTTTAACAATCATGCTTTTTCAATTATCCCCCCCCCCCCCCAAAGAAAGAAAAACCAGACAGCATCCACGATTATTGGGTCAATGAATCCGAATCTAAAGTCCGTTTGACTCCATCTCGTTAGGTTTTTTTACAACCTCAAAATAACGGTCAAAAAATACATCTTCCATCAAATCCTCTAGAAAATATTTTTAAAATGACCGTTATCATGAGGTTATAGAAGAAAATTGTACGAGATGAAGTGGGTGTTGTCTGGTTTCTGAAAGTATTTTTTTTCTGTGGAGCTGTGTTCTTTATGCTTCTAGTAAAAGTAATGTATAGTTAAAAGAAATTACAGTTAATTTAGAAAAAAATAGTCAGAGTATTGAAAAAGTATTTCAATCTTTTGTTTCAATGAATTTACAATAAAAATACGTTGCACTTATTTGTAAGGAACAAATTTTTTTCTCAATATTTTATTGCGAATAGCGATGTATGAAAAAATTTTTTAACAAAAAAAAAGAAAAAAAAATTATTTTTCCAAGTTATTTACAAATCCATAAAATAATGGTAATTAATACGGTAATAATAATAACACAGTGTATATTTTTAGCCCCGATTTAACATTGATTGAATTTTAATGAATCTCAAACATATCCTAAAGTTAATTTTCAAGCAAACTCGGAGTACAAGAGTTAATAATAATACTGTAATCGTTTCAAAATGAATAGGCACTCGAGAGATTGGTTATCTACATCGCTAAAAATTTGTGCATATGTTAATCGGTGTCAAAATTAAATTTATTGTCACGACTTGTGACATGAAATTCCCCGGTAAGCCAACTCGATCAATCACGGACAAACATTTAAGCCCATAAGCCCCCTTTTTTTTACAACCAAATCAATGAAATAATTAATCATCATACGTGTACGTTATAAGTTGAATTGGAAAATACGTTATTTTGTTGTTGTTGTTGTTGTTGTTGTTAATTCCATGAAAAGCTAGGAGTGACGTTTTATGAAAATCAAAATCACAAAAATGAATTACCATGAAGAACATGACAATGTTCAGGCCGCTCAGCTGCATTAACGAGAAGAGAGCGATGATTTGGAGAGCGGCCCGTCTGATTGGCTCCGAGGCACCCGCAGCCCGAAGCTTCTCCCAGAGGCTTTCACTGGCGTCCGTGGCGACGAACTTTTCAACGGCGGCCAACTCCTCGTCCACCTGGTGACCCGCCCTGTACCAACTGATGGAGCGCCGGGCGACCTCGATCTTCCCTGTCTTGACGAGGTGGTGCGGGGACTCGGGCAGCCAGACAAACAGCAACTCCAGCAGCACGGCCAGGCCGAGGTAGAGACCGGCCGCTAGACTCACGCTGAGGTAGGAGCCGCAGATGCTCGCCACGACTTGGCCGAGGGGGGCGCCCACCGTGGCCAGGGAGATGAGCGCGCCGCGGATCTCGGGCATGGAAATTTCCCCGATGTAGAGGGGAAAGGCCCCGAAGGCCATTCCCAGGCCCGCGCCGCTGCAGAGCCGGCCGACGATGAGCCACTCGATCGACGTGGCTAGGGTTATGGAGAGCCAGCCCACGGCGATGGGCACGACGGTCAGGAGGATGGAGCTTTTGCTGCCGAGGAGGCTCGCGGATAGGGGACCGAGCACGCCCCCGAAAAATCGCCCAAAGTTGATGATCGATGCCACCTTGATTTCGTTTTAACCCAATCGGTGGTCATAATGAGCGTGTCGGAAAAAAATATCATTGATTCGCCTCTCTCGGGCAGAAAATATATATATATTCGTCACTGATAACCTCATTATATATACGTATGTATTTATATTTCGTTTGATCAGAAAGTACTGATGTTTCTCTTGGAATTTATTGTATTTTGTACATATATTATGTACAACACGGATGGTGATTCATTATTTCTATAAAAGTGCCTACTTTTCAACCATTCTGAGCTTTTATATTACAATTTTTCATGGACCTAAAATAATAATTTTTATCAATGGATTAAACGTCTTTTTTTTATCAGTTGAGGTGACTGGGAGCTCGACTGAAAGATCCCATTTTTAAGGGAGTTTAACAATAATTCCAAACATTCAAAGACGCGATTCAGGATATTTTTTAACTCGTGTGCACTGTATTAAAGGGGTTATTACTCCAATCCATCTCAAAAGTCGATCTTTGTTGAAAATTTTTTAAAAACTCGATTATTATTGGAAAACCACGTGCGATATTAACTTCATAATTAAATTATCGAAAAAAAAGTGAATGTACAAGCAACATTCCAATTTAATTCCTTAGAAACTGTACTGCGAGTCCTTCTAAACTGAGTACATGTTTTGTAAGTAACATCGAATTTGACGCGATTGATGTTTTTCAAGTACTTCTTGATTAAATATCATTTCGTAATGACCCTCTTAAAAATGCACGATTTATTTGCATTCTTGAAACTGCCTAGTGACCCACTTTGTTTAAGAATATTTTTACGCCAAGAAAAATGTACTTGACCTCCAAGAAGAATTGGATACAGTTTTTTTTTCTTCATATTTGGAATAAAAGATTGGCGTCCGTACATGAAAAATAAAAAAATCATATTTCTCGTCATCCCGTAAGCTACAATTGTAAATTTTGACATATTATTATGACCAGTTGTTAATTTTCAACATTGAATTTCATGGTTTCAAAAATGTTAAAAATAGTACTATCCAAGGGAAAATATTTGAACGCGAGGGATGACGAATATTTTCCGTCCGAAAGTGTATAGTGATAATTACCCAGGAAGCTTGCTCCGGCGAAATCGGCATGGGCGAGTCCGGGGCGGCGAGCCGAGCGAGGGTCGGCGAGGCCCATCCTCCCATGAGGCCGACATGGATGAGCAGCAGAAACACTGAAAAACACCCGCGTCGGCTTTTTTATACTTTCCACTCGGTATATATGTACCCGACAACCGGTGCCCGTCACTCATTTTACCTCCGATTCCCGCGAGCCACTGCGGCAGGATCATCTTCTGCATCTTCGTGTCGACGACAGGTGACACGTACACCACGGTATTGTTTCTACCCATGTGGCCGGGACTCTGTGCTGATCGGTGATGCTTCGTCGTGACCGGTAAATATATGCACAGATCGATCGGTAACTTCCACTCTCGAGTCAACCGACTTCCATCGCCGAATCGAGCCAACGAGATGACGCGTGGGTGGCGTTTAACCCGCGGTAGGACTGAAAGCGCACCTGCTGCAAAATGCAATTATATAGCCTCGTTGGGCCATGCACGCGCATTGCGCGCACAATTATTCAGCGCCGGCAACATTTTGTATATCGCGTAATTGAGATTAACAAGGCTGTGCGAGCGCGCAAGGCTAACTAACGTCGAGACTCGGAGTTTTAATCGCGCGATGCCTCCGCTCTACAAGCTTTCGATCTAACGCGTTATCTCGGCTAACCGATGATTTTGCAATTTGGCTAATCGCAACTTTGGCAGCCGAGCGGATGACGCAACGCGACGAACCGAGATGCGCGTATTTGTTTTTTTTTCCCCCCCTTTGCTTTTGACCATTCCTAAACTACGAGTTGTACTTTAAAACTTTTTGGGATTTTTTTTTTTTTTGCTCTGGAGATACATTGAGCCGGTTAAGTATACATAAATTAAATTTATTCTTCGTCATTTATTTCACGGCGACTTTCGAACTTTAGCTGCAAGCACTCCGAGATGGACTATTTCTTCCTTTTTTCTCGTGTCTTACGCCAAACAAAGCGATCGCCGCTTATTTCATGGGATGTGATACTTACATCAGCTTTGTAGACAAGAACCGAGGAATTGTAAATTAATGTTGATGAGAAGTAATCGTCGATGCTTCCAACGTGTACTCGAGAGTGTCTATTACCCGCGTTTTTTNCAACGAGACAGTAGTATAGTATTCCCAAGATTTCTTTATATTTTTTACTTAGTGAACGCCCACGTACAAAAGTCGTGGAAGGAAAAAAAAGAGAAACAATCCAAAATACATGATTCTTTAAAAAAAAAGTATTTCTTTGCCTTTTTCCTCCATTTACTTCAATGATGGCATTTTCCCTTCAATTCAATGGTGTCTTTTTTTTTTTTTTTTTTTTTTCTCAACGGATAACATCGGAATATTGATTTAACCTTGTCTACGCCGTTTTCATCGCACCCAGTAACCTCCCCTGGGCGTCCTTACTCACCTGTTTTGCCCGACAAGTTTTTACTCGGGTCTTAGACGGAACATCCGATGGAGGGAGTAAGCCTCTCTAGAGCCTTTCATTAAGTATACACGCGACCCCCCCCCCCCCCGGGAAGGAAGAGACAGAGTGGATTATCGGTGCAAAAAAACTATTTAACTTGGTTGCTTTTTCTCTCCCAACTGAGCCGATCGGGTTGGATTCGAAAAGTAATTCGGTCAGTAGAGTCGTGGGCGAGTAGTGACGAGTCCCTCCAAGTGGTGCCAGGCTGCTTCTAAATCAGCGTTAATAGCATGGGTATGGAGAGGGTCGGAAGAAGAGAGGAGCCCCTCGATGGAATGCAATAAAAAACAAAACAAAGTAAAAAGCACCAATAATTCACAAGTATAATCGAGCGAGCGAGAGAGAGAGAAAGAGGGTGCCTCGGTGGACAGAACAAAGAGCTACGAGTAAAAACATCATACATGTATAGCTGGTGGCCCGGGCTTGAGTCACACCGAGCGCGATTTACTTTTCTAACGCGGGGGGACAAAGGACGAGGAGCAGCACGAGAGGGGATGAAAGAAGAGGCTTTTCTTGCAGCTACCCCTGCGCATCACCACCACCACCAGTGGTAGTAAAAGATTTTAGTACGTGACATCGGTTCCCTTGCCTCCGTTCACGGCACGATATCGCCGATTCCCCTCCCTCCGACTTTTGCCGAGAGTCGGAGGGGCTCGGGCTCGGTTTTATTATGGATACAGGCAAATCGCGCCATAGCCACGTGCAAGCGAACAAAGAGACACGCAATAAATGCCTCGAAAAAATTGTGTACTTACTCGTTAATTGCCAGCGTTTGGCTCCCCGGCTACCGATGTCTCACTTTGCGCGTGCACTCCTTGGTGAATTTTTTTCGCGTTACTATACATCAACGTTGTTTTCAAGAGAAAAATTTGCTTTTCCTCCAAGCAGAAATCTTACGGAAGGAAAAAAATGTATACAGGGAGCGTGGGTCGATGAAAGGGTCGCAATCGGCGGCTGCTCGTAGAATACCTTTTTTCATACATGAGAAGCAAAAGTATACGGTCCACTCTTTTTTATTCCCCGCAACGCAAAAGCCCCGCTCTATATTCAATTGAACTCTGAGTTATACTGTATAACACGTGTAGGTGAAAGGTACAGCCGAAGGGCACGCCTGAAACTGGAAATCGGTCGAAACTGCGCGGGCTTTGCATAATTTCGGCAAAACGGAGTCGTACGCTACGTCGGCGTAAGTCGCAGTTGAGTTTGCTTATCGCGGACAGAGAACAACCAGCCGCGGTGTATACAAATCCAAATTTGTGCTCTTTAATGAATGGGTAATTCCTAGTATTCATCATCGTAAGTATACATAAGATGTAAATTGAAGGATGACGTCTTGAGAATCGCCCCCAGCGAGAATTAGTGCGAACAAAGACCAGGAAGGCATTAACGTATAAATTCACCTTTAATAGTATACCTACAGCTCGGGTCATTCAAGTTAAATTCCCGATGTACACCCTCACTCGTTTCTGCCAACGGCATTTGATGAACCCGCGCTATTGTGTTGGTTTGCCGTGTGGATGTTATTTCTTGTTATTATTTTTTTGTTTGCTTTCCTCGCACTTTCACCAGATACACCGGTACCGGGCACAAAGCGACGAGCCCAAAGAGCAGATTAAAGCTACTGAGCTCGTTTCTGCAAATATTCACGCGGGGGCGGCTCGTTTCTTTGTTCTCCCCTACCCATGACCGAGAGATCTCGCGGGTGCGCCCCACTGCAGGGGGGAGGGGATAGACCCGTAGGGATGACCTAGCCAGCCTCTCCCTTCGCGACGGCAGTGGCTTCATCAGGAGACCAGGTGGGAAGAACAAAGAAGAAGCTGCCGAGGAAGGAGGGGCGGGTGGAAGCAGGAGCTCCCGACCTCTCACGGATATTACACCCCGTACACTCTTGTGTGCATGTGCTCCGTGGCTTATACAAAGACAACGGACTCTGACCTTTTTGGCCAATGTCTCGGGAAACTGTATACACATTATACTCGCAGGGGTCCCTCCCTTCCCTTTGTCTCTCGGAGCTATATGTTGCGTACACCCGTGCCCCACTCGCGCTCATCGCCGTCCGTATACGCGAACGATAAATTTAAACGCCGAAAGCACACACGTGCTACCACTTGACCGTAGCTCCCGTAGATTGCCAGATTGTATGGAATTTATATCCTTTCACTCGTGCGTACATCCACTGTTTGCCAGCCGAGGAGGTTCGGGTACAACGAACTTGATAAAAAAAGCTCGAGGAAGCGAAGGTGCAAGCACCGTCGCGGAGGAAGAAAAAGAAACAGACAAAGGGGGCGCGCGTTGGCGATTACTTTTACCGCCTCATTATGATGTTACGTGCTTTTTGTTGCTGCGTTCAAAGCTCCGCTACGTGGGCGCGTGGGGGCCTATCCAACGGATATACCCCAGCTTTACGATCGAAAAAAGATATACAACACCGAGATGTACAGGGTATAGGTGAGCGAACTGCCAATGTTTTACTTCAAGGGTTTGCCTATAACTATTATCATCCCTGATTTTGGCTTTTCTCCGTGTATATCCTGTCACTTCAGCATCGCCTGTATTTTTTTGCACCGTTGAAAGATACCGATAATAATAAAATAGCGGCATAAGAATATAAATACTGTACACGTACGCCAATGAAAGATGTAATCATAAGAGTCGATAGTACCTGTACCCCGCGAGTTGGCAACGAGGCGACGAGCACGTTGCGAATAAACGTAATCCGTACCGCCAAAGCCCGGGGAGCAGATAAAGTCGACAAAGACGAGCCAGAGCCCTCGGGCGTCTTGATTTCGCCTCTGGCTTTACCCCCGTCTTCCACAGCTGCAGGGGAGTAGATACGAGTGGGGGGGTGTGGGGGGCGATATTACTCGGATGTCCGGTGATTTCGCTTTGTGTCAATGGGACGCGCCCACTACGACCTTCCCGAAACAATAGGCTTTGTGGCGAACTCGACTACTTTACCACTCCTATTTTGCTATTACTACTGCCACCGATGTTGCTGTCATGGGGCATTTCGGGCAGGCCCGGATCTCCCTTCCGCGATCAATCAGCCGGGTCAAATTTATCTCCTCCCTACCCCTTTGTTCTCTTCCTCTTCTTTGTGTGATCTGAACAATCAATTCCTTACCCAATCAAATGATGCGACATACTTTTTGCCGCGATGATCACACAAATACACGCGTGACAAAATACTAAAAGGTATGCATTTGGAGGCCTGCTCCGATAACCCCCCCCCCTAATTTATAGACCCATTGTTCTTTGGAAGCTGGACCTAACGTTTGGGTATAAATTTATAGCGACGTATTTTTATGTGCCCCACCAACAACCCCTCGAGGCTCCGAAATGTATACCTACACCCCCCCCCCCTCTAAACGCGAGAAGACATCATCGTCTCCTTTACTTTCCCGAGATTTCAATCTCCCGCGTATCTATTATCCCTTTAAAACTGCGAATGGGTATACACATCGAAGACGCCCAACAGATTTCCCCGGGAGGTAAAACTTTACGAGCGCCCCTTTGTTCCGGCGACCCTTGCCCGCGACGCCCTCGAAATGCTTGGCCCTAGCGCCCCCGACAGTCGGGCGCGAGTACTTTTTTAATGAAAAATGAAAAAAAAAAAAAAAAAACAAGATACACCCACTCTCGCGGGGCAAGAGCCAATTTCCCGTCCGGACGAAAACGCGCATCATCCCCCCGCAAAACAGCGATACATGTATACAAGCTCATCGCTTCCCCTTCCCTTTCTCTGCGCTGGCGCAGTTCGTCCCCGGAGAGGACAAAGACTCCTGGCCGCCAGGGGGTGGGGGGTTGGGAAAAAGGGCTTGCCGAGGTCGGGGGCGCAGAGTTTCTAGAGCAGACGAATCGATGCGCCCGCGGATAGAGCCCGGCGTGCGTGCAACGCCGCGAGTTCAAGGGCCGTCGGCGCAGCCACCTCGGGAGAGTGACCGTGGCCGTGGCCTCGCCTCAAGGCTGACGATGCCTGGCTGGCTTTGCACCGCCACCGTCGCTGTGTTGCCGCTGTATATCGGTATATCATAACACAGAGGCTGAGGCCGCGGTGGCCTTCGCGTCGATGGGGTGGTTCGTGGCGATATGTGT